TTATTTTCGAAGTAATTAAATGAATACATAATATTAAACTTTACATTATTTCCCATAATTTAACATTTTTCTAAAATTATTTATTAATAATAATTCTGAAAGAGAAAATTTTGCTCTCCCTGTCTGAATTTTAATGCCCCTATTTAAATATCCAATAAGGCAATTAGAATGAATCTTACTTTTAGCTGCTGAACGTTTTTCCGAATTGTAATTCCCATGGAGCCGTTGCTTATAATTAATAATAAAAGCGATTTAATTTTCGTTCAATTTCCAGCTATTAGGATGGGAATTACTGAAATCAAGACCAAGAAGTGGGAACTGCTGTATTCTTAAGTGAGACGCCATTTCTGTCGGGCTATTTATTGTATTTGACAATTTTATTAAAAAAGTTTCTCTAAATTAAATTTTATTTCGCGGACGTTCAATATTGTGATAATAACTTCTTAAATGATACAAAATGTATGGAAAATTGTATCTATTATTTGTTATCTCTTTTACGTAGGTAAATCAGAACATTATAAACTAGAACATCATCAATATTTAATCCCAATTTTTATACAAGGTTTCCCTAACTGCGTAGCTGAAACATTGAGCGGCGATAGAACTTATTTCCCTTACTGTAGTTTGGGAAAAGCTTAATTTTTGATATTCAACTGACCAAGTGATTTTTCAAAGTAATGGAGCTCATTTTCCAGACTTTTCGATTGATTCAAATGTACACCTCTTACGAGTGATGGCTATTGCAACGTCAACATTAAGGCAATATTAAGGCAAAAACCGTCCAGTGTTCAAGAGGTCTCACAGTTGATGTCGTCGACTTCAGTTAACATTCCAACAGTGCATTTATGAGACACTACCTATTCACTATTTCACTGTTTTTCTAATAATGTTCCAAAATGAGTCCTAAGTAAATCCAAGGTGTGCCACCATTTTATAAAGAATCTAATGGAGTATTTTTACCCTCTGAGTGTTTCAAACACAAGATGTTCTTTTCATCGTCATTTAATGTAAATTTTGGAAATACCATGGTATATATCTTATATTTTATTTTTCTGGTTGGGAAAATATCAGTAAATAATTTTTCATCACTTAATTATAAAAATGTTATTCTATTATAGTAATAAAGACTTAATCAGTAAAAAATTGGCTGCTATTTAATTGGCGTAAAATGGTCCAATTAATTAAACGATCTAATCAGCTAAAATATAATCCGGGTTATGTCAAGATTAGCAGCTAATTTATCCATGAAATGCTAAAAGCAACGGAAGCCTCTCTCGCCTCCAGAGATGTTTTACACTAGCCCGCCATCTAGGTAATCCTTTTTTAATTAAATGCATAATTGTGTGCAGTTTCTATTCACTTTTGGGAAACATGAATATTCAGGAAGTAAATTGTTCCTCTGGATCACTAGACCCTGGTAATCCCTTAAATACACTTTAAACGCTCGTAAATGGCCCGAGAATGTACTAAATTATATTTGAGCCATTCTAAGCCGCCATACTTACAAGGAGTTGAGGTTGGGTATCAAAGTTTGTTAAAGATATAGATGAGTTGGAATATATCAAAATATGTTATCCTTTATCCCTTTGAGTTATGCCGTATAGGATCTGGATAATCCATGAATATGAAACTGCCATATATTTTTTTGGGTCGAAATATCACGATTGCTTCGTTTAACCAGCTAAGGGGTTCAATTTTTGTAGTATTTTTTTATTCAAACGTTTATTAATTGTCACTTGAATATTAAAATATTTAATAACAAATTAATATCATTTTGAGACTTCCAATTTCAAAAAATTCAATCGTCTTTTATTTTGTAGAAGCTTAAGTTCACAATTAAATAATGACTATGTGTCAGCTGGCAAAGAGTTGTCCTTATCTTAGTAACAAGAGTAGAGTAACAAGTCCTCCATATTTCCCCACAAAATAATGTAAATTTCGGATAATTGAAAGTCTGCTGATTTCATTTAAATACACTTTCGGTTTGTGGCAGTCCCATTGTACGACGTAGCATGTAGTACTTAATTACGTATGCAGCAGTTAACGTTTTGTCTAATCTAATTATACAGTGCGAGAATGCCTCCCTACTATTATGAAGAAAAAAGGAAAACGCTGGGGCAGATCGATTTGCAATTTGATAAAAGGTTACTTTAATGTAAAAGTTTTATCCCAAGTGTCGAGGTCTTCTACGTGACAAGTGAGCCTTCAATTTTTTAAATAACAAAAACTAAATTTTTTTATAGTCTGAAAGTTGGCCTCCGAACTATAACATAGTCTGTGCTAACTTCTTTCGCGAAAGCTAGGTTTGAGAGGCAAAGCACATGATAATATAAGAATCTGTAAATTCTATAGAAATATACTTCATCTCCATTGAAATATAGATATACAGGATGATCCATTAATGGTACAGAACGGCTGTATACAGGGTAATCCATTAACAATGGGAAAGTCGAAAGCTGAAGATACTACACGTGAAATGGTGACAATTGGCGCAAACATGCCTTATCCGAAAGGTGATAGTTTCGGAAATACAGGGTGTTGAAAATTAAAATTTTAAATAGTTTTTTGCGATTATTCTGAAAATATGTAGGTTAGGAACTTGAACATTTGTGAAACTATATTTTTTTAGGCGACGAATAAGATGCGTGTTGTAATTTCAGCATTGCTCATAGAGGGCGCCACTTACGACCAATTTTACCGAAAATTTAGTTAATAACTTTTTACCCTGTATGTCTAACATGAAACTTGATTCAAAACCTGAAAGAGCAATCATTTTTCCATTAATTGTGTATTCTTGTTTCATTTCGGTATCTCGATCCGTTTTCGAGAAAAATCGATTTAACGAACACTATGTTTTGATAATACGAGAAATTAAAAGCGAAACAAACCAAGTGTTTCTTCGTGTTATTACAACAATTAACAATAAAACAAATGAAATTCGTAATAATGATTTAAAGTCAGTGTTCGAAGAATCCACCGTTGACATTTACACACTTTACACAACGTTTTCTGAGAGATCTTCGAGTTTGAAACAACATATTGGGATTGCGTTTGACTTCGTTGGCAGCGATTTGTATTCTTTGCCACAACTCTTCACACGAACCAATAGATTCTTCCAAATAGAAAAATGAAGAGGATTGAAGTCCGGACTTCTGGGTGGCCAAGTAAAAATGCTTCCACGGCTTGTAGAAGTTCCACTTTATTTAAGAAGAGACATGTGGTTCATGCACGACGGAGCTCCACGCATTTTCCTTAGCCAGTGCGTGCATATTTAGAAGCAGTTTTTCCAAATCGCTGGATTGGCCGTGTAATCATTTTTGTTTGGCCATCCAGAAGTCCGGTCTTCAATCCTTTTGATTTTTCTATTTGGTCTCGAATGAAAGATATAGTTTACAAATAATCTATTGGCTCGTGTGAAGAGTTGTGGCAAAGAATACAAATCGCTGCCAACGAAGTCAGACGCAATCCCAATATGTTGTTTCAAACTCGACGATCTCTCAGAAAACGTGTAAAATGTATCAGTGTCAAGGGTGGATTCTTCGAACAATTACTTTAAATCATAATTACATATTTTATTTGTTTTATTGTTAATTGTAATAACATGAAGAAACATTCTTGTATTATCAAAACATAGTGTTCGTTAAATTTATGTTTCTCGAAAACGAATCGAGATACCGAAATGAAACAAGAGTACATAATTAATGATTGCTCTTTCAGGTTTTGAATCAAGTTTCATGTTAGACATACAGGGTAAAATGTTATTAAATAAATTTTCGGTAAAATTGGTCGTAAGTGGCGCCCTCTATGAGCAATGCTGAAATTACAACACGCATCTTATTCGTCGCCTAAAAAAATACAGTTTCATAAATTTTCAAGTTCGTAACCTACATATTTTCAGAATAATCGCAAAAAAACGATTTAAAATTTTAACTTTCAACACCCTGTATTTCCGAAACTGTCATCTTTCGGATAAGGCATGTTTGCGCCAATGGTCATCATTTCACGTGTAGTATCTTCAGCTTTCTATTTTCCCATTCTTAATGAATCACCCTGTATAGGAAACTAGACGTCCTATGATTATAGGGTAAAAAATCTATTAACAAATACGGCCAAAAGAAATTGATTTAAAATATTTTCAAGTTAGGGGGCGTAACTGCCATAGTATTACAGAAAATTGTCATTTTTCGTTTCGCTTATAGAACCTAAGTTCAAAATACACTTTTTTATATACATCATAGATTTTTTGATGGCTTGATAGACCATTTATTAAAAAAAACAAATACACATATATAAAATTTTTCCCAATATTTACTTGTTTTTGAGACATGTCGACTTCAAAATGCAATATAAGATCTTTTTTTTGTTTATACTGTTTCTTGATAAACTCGTCAGTGTTTGTTTATATGTTCACTTAATTACAGAGATATCACTAGCTCTATTTAATTCTTGAAAATTCTAAATCCGACTGAATACGTTTAAATTATGAGACACTAAAAGTCCTACAAAACTTTTCTTGTAGCTTCCAAAATAACAAATCATTTTTATGCATATAGAAAACCTGCGTTAGCTGCATGAATGAACAAAGTCAAAGACCACAACCACACAAAAGGAGATTAATAAGTAACCATTCCTGTTTTTGTCTGTTTACAATTCTAGTATTTATAATGACTTACCAATGCAACCGTGACAAACTTGCAATATTTTTATTTGCCAAGGTAATTACAAGTCATTGACACCGTTTGCAACTTTAATTACAGCAACGAAGAAGCTTCACGTATACCTTTTAAACCTGATTTTTATATTTGCAATCCAGAATTCAATATTGCAAATACCTTTTTTATTGAATTCAATTTGAAAATCTGAAAATTTAATTTATTTTGTACAAATGGCCTTTATATGTAAATAATGAAAACGTCGTTAATATTAAAATTCAAACTTTAATGACAAAAACATAAATATACAAACAATTATAAAATAAAACATTTAACAAAAAATTAAAATTAACGTCCGCCAGCAAGGAACTTATCGCCATCCTGATAACCTTCTTGCTTGCCAAAAGCGCTGCCGCCCTTCTTGGCAAACTCAGCATTATTCTGATAAAACTTATCATATCCCGCCGCCTTTTTGAAACCCTGGTCCTCGTCAAGATATTTGCCCTTATCCGAAAATCCCTTAACTCCATAATCCCCTTCTTTGAATCCACTATCGTGATGCCCCCCTTTCTTAAACGAACCCTCCTTGGCTCCTTTTTTAGCGTCATAATCTCCGTACCTCCTAAAGTTACCATTCTTGTCAGCCTTGTCGTAGAAACTATGGTCTTTCTTGTACTCATCTTTGTGGAAGACGTTGTGGTAGCCAGTAGTTTTCGAGTCCTTTTTATGGTCCTTTTTTGCTGCGAAGGATTCTCCCTTGTGGGCGTTGCCCTTCTGGTTGTTATTGCCGTAATGGGCGGCTACGTCGTAGGCGCCGATTTGGAGGCCCCCTGCTTTGTTCAGGAAGCCCTTATTCTGCTCGTTTTCGTGGACTCCTTTTAGACCTTTCTCGAAGGCGTCTTGGTTTAAGTAAGACCTTTCCCCTTTTTCTCCTCGGACTGCTTTCTGCGCATCTTCGAAGGCTGAGCCGCCGCTTTTCAAAAAGTTCTTCGCGTCTAGGGCGTAGTTGAGAGTCTCTGGCAAACTGAAAATAGTTGTAGTTGATTTAAGTGGGTTATTACGGAAATAATTGGTTTCATATTTGAAAATTTAACAGTGAACAAGAAACTATTTTATGTTATAACTTTCCATTTCAAACTGATTTTTTATTACATTCACTATTGCCCCAAAATCAGATTTAAATCTTCTCATGACCTTGCTATTTAATTAAGTACTGTGCAAAAGTATTTTAAAATGTTTCAAGAAAGTAAAATTGTATTTAATCATTTATAACAAGTAAACATAATTTTCAGATCATTGTTTTGTTAAAATATTAGCCGGAGAAATGAGTCTGTTATTCAAAGTGTTACAAATAAATGTACCTCATATTTCTGACGATACCTAAAGCAGTATCAAAGTTGGAGGGTAGAATTAAGATTCGTAAAATTAAATGAGCGTGAATTAAGTAAAGAGATAAGTGAAGCAACGGTAGGATTTTATAATACTTTGAAAAATGGAAGGAGAGTCGAATTAATGGCTCATAATTAAGTCACGAACTTTACCTTTTGCTCGAATTAAATCGAATAAATTAGGACCGAAGCCCACGGAAACAAAACTTGGAGGTTCCTTTTTTAAGGTCACGCAGGTCGCGAGTCAACTTTTCGCATTTAGCAGGCATACAACGTAGAAAGTTTTTTACAGTTGTTTACTTTTTTCACGTTATCATATAAAAAATAAAAACTCGTTAAAGTATGCTGAAAGGAATATACGAGGAACGTTCCAATTTAAATTATAATCTATTTATCAGTAACAAACTAACAGAAAAACAGTAAATTACATAATGCTGTTTTTCTGTACAGGGTGTTCAGTTACTAATCGGACAAACGTCGTCAATAGATCATATGGTAAGAATCAATAAAGGAAGATTAAATAAAAGTTTGTCCACTGTTTCACTTTCGAGAGACACGGTATTGAATTAAGGAAAATGAAACCATTTTGTTAAACATTTTTTAAGATATTCATTATCAAGTTAAATAAAATGTAAATACAAAAAACTGTATAGCCAAAACTACACTTTCAGGGACCATTCATAAAAAATAAAATCTTATATTTATACGAACAAATTCTTATTCAATATCAAGCCATTGTAGTCCAGACGGTATCTGTTTCAAAAAGTCCATATTTGGGTGAATCGTATATCCACGAAGATTTTTGGCTTTTTGGCTTTCATATATCACTAGAAATGAACATTTTTCTATGCGCATAAAAAAACCGTTGGCTTAACTTTTGGCGGCACAATATGTTAAAAAAAATCGAAAAATGTCATATTTTTCATCCTATTTAATTATGTATCTTTTCAAGAGTTGATTTTAGGCGAGAATAGAAGAGGAAAAAAAATGTTTGTAATTAAATTTTTTACAAAATATGACTAGTTACAAATCGAATGAATCATGATAATTATTGTAAAAATTGAAAAAATCGCCAAAAATGGGTTTAAAAAACATTTGAATTTTTTGGGGTCTAAATTGGGTATAGGACCTTCATACTTGGATCAAGAAAACTTCATGTTATGTAGAATCATCACACCAAATTTCATCAAAATCGGTTAGATAGATTTTGCATAATCATTTTGCAATCCAGATTTTGAAAAAAAAATTGCAAATTTTCAAAATTTTGCACAGCAAAAACCAAGGCCCTTAGATACTTGAAAATTTAATCACAAATAGAAGGGCTCTCAAGCTTTCCAACGCTTTTTGAAATGTTCGAATCCCTCAATTAGGAGAGCACTGGCGCTTGTTTAAACATTTGTCGAATTTATAAACTATTGAAAACAATATTATTACTAATAAACAATTTGAATAACTTTGTGAATATTCAATCAAATCAAATTTTTTAAACCAGGTTTTGAAAGTTATTGGAAAGACGTTTCTTTAAAAAAAAAACAGATCGATTGGTCAATTAGTTACGTAGTTATAGCCGATCAAAGTTAGCCGTCATTTACACTAAATGTACTAGGCCCTTCCACAAATAAGATCCACTTCTTATTTGTGGAAGGGCGAAATGGGCGGTGATTATTAGACGGCTTCATTATAGCCATCTTTCTCTATCGCACGGATTTTTATGACTTACTTTATCGCTCTCACAATACGGCCGATGAACCATGGGGACTTTCCGACCCTGTATATACAGTGCATTACTTTAAATTATTTTATCTAGTTAAAAAGAGAGAGTAATTTTAATATTAGGACCGAAGGATTGCAATATAAAAACATCATACCTAATTATTCTTTGACTACTTTAAGTTTTTTTCTTGACGTATTCTAAAATAGTGTAGTTTTGCATTTATTGCTTTATTTTAATTAACTTTTCTTAGTAATCTTTACTACCTATCTTCACAGAATATATTGCCAAAGAGGACGTAATTTTAAATTTCTAAACCACGAAACAGAATAAACTTAGTTTATAGCCAAATAAAAGTCAACCATAGTATTTAAACAAATTTTTTATATTTGCCAAAATAACGAACATATCCAAATTAAATTTGATAAGCATACCTAGACAGTATGTGGTAATATTATGTTCCCTAAACACTACTAACGAAGATATTGGCCATACCTTTAATTAATTTAATAAAAATAAAAAGGAAAAATACTGATACTAAGTAAAAATGGTTCCTCTTTTTTCATAAAGCCTAAAAATATTTTTGCAAATATGTCAAACTAATCCTCAGTCTGAATTATATTTTTTTCAAAATCCTAGATTTTTCAATCAGTGTTAATAATCTCAAAAATAGTAGATTCTTATTAATCTTGTAAATCGAAAAAATTTACTTATTTTGAAAAGTGTTATAGCATACTCGGATCTGGCATTAAATTCGATTAACCCTGTACTTTAAAATCAATTAAAATTTAAATTTCTGTCTGCGTAAAATTCATAACTTATTACCGTCCTTCGAATTTTTGGTTTCAACAAATTATAAAAAGACATACACTTATTAATTTGGTTTTACAAAAAGACATGAAAATTAAAAAGATTTAAGATTGATCATCTATTCACTTCAGAATTTGAATTGACATTATCTCCTGCCTCCTGTCAGTATTGTCGATATTGTTTGATAAATGATCTGTTACCTTATCTAAATGGAAATGACATTATCTCTGTACAATATTCTTCATCTGTGACTCTGTCTAGATGTTGATGTCTAAAAGTATACATAACTAAAAGCTACTAAAAAATATTTAACGGAATATATTCAATGATTTACCTAATTTTTGCGTTTTAAAAATGACTTGTCTAAATGCACACCAACATAACTTTACTAAAAAAATCTTTAATTATACTTAAAAAAAGAGCAAAGGAGTATATCGTATTCAAATAATTTTAACCTAGCAAAGGCGAATTTTTATTTTTTGCAGACAGATGCGCAATATTTCCGCCGATTTAGCCCTTGTCTGTTAAATTATCGCGATATTCAAGTTTAAAAACGCCATTACTTGAAGGAGTTGCACGAACATAAACCATCTGTCAGAAAAGTGAGCTGGAGTGCCGACCGACCCGAAACTTGAAGTTTCCTGAGAGGAAAAATTGTAGCTACTTCGACCGTTCATAAACGGTTGACTGCTTATAAAACTTTGTCAACCCAACTTAGTGTATATTTATCGGGGGCGATATTTTATTATCCAAATAAAATTAGACGGCTCTGGAAAGTTGGAGCGGCAGGAGAACCGAAGAGGAGGTTCTTGTGTTACCCGCAAAATAAATTACGGAGCACTTCCCTCGATTTCTATGTCGACTATGCTGCCTTCTTTGTAACTTATGATTTATTTGGTTTGTTTATCGCGTAAGTAATGAAAACTAACGCTTGCATTTCGCTTCCTTTTATAGTTCATATTTGCATTCGAGAGGTTAGTACGTAGTTAACCTCAAATGTTCTGCATATACCATTAGCGTTATGTTTAATGATACAGTGCCTTCAGAAATGTTTACAAGCCACCTGACCTCCGAACATAGGCAACCAACATTGTAGGGCTAGTACTGTAAACGAGAAACAATCTACGATCAAGATAATGCGATGGCTGATTGGTTGAATACAATCTCGTGAAAAAATACATCATAAATATATAAACAAATGATTATCTGGTTTGTTTTACTTTTTATATTTCCTTACTGATATGCTGCATCAATTTTTTTGTGTAAAAATGAATATTTACAGGCGCAATACGTTAGGATTTACTGCTGACGACTTTAGATAATTTTTTGGACAAATTTATAGAAATCTAAAAGCAATTTAGAAAAAAGAATGCCCGGGTCAATGAACAAAACCAATCGTAGTAATTTGACGTCTGAAAACCGAGTAAATTCACAATAGCCTAGTCTGTACCTTCGAATTCAACATACCCTGTTTTCGCCGAACCCAAAAAGGCTTCGTATCCCTTGACAGGCTCCACATAAGCCGCATAGCTGAGAGGGACCCCGTACGAGTTCACCAGTTTATCGTAATGCTTGGGAATGAAATTCTGCGACAGCGGAATAGACTCCAGAGGCAAGCGGTTGTACTTATACTGCCCATAAGCCGCGGGTGGATACGCAAAATTGTTGAACTTCCCTGAGGAGTCAGTCTCGTAATTGGAGTAGAAGGGCGTTCCAGAGTTCACTTGATAGTCGTATCCCGTCCCTGACGTCTCCATGTCTTCAGAGCCGGCGTTCTTCATGTACATGCTACTCCTTTCCTCCATACATTCCACCACTATCAGTGCTGCTAGCAACGGGGCTACCCTTAATAACGCTGCCATGATTCTCTTTGAACTGATTCACTGACACTACTACACTTTTTTAATAACGAATAAACGTTTTGTTGGGATGAATCACTTATTTAGTTCTAGCGACTATCTCGCTGCACTGACTGATGCAGGTTTTTAATTGACGAACGTTTATATACTGTACTTAGAGATGCAAGAATGTGGCAATATATGAGGGTATTAAAGGTCACAATTATTGCCTAAATTTCTCTTGAATATCTGTTGGCGTGATTTAACGGTTGACCGGTAGCCATGTGACAAATAATAACCGTAAATACCACAACTTGCCTCACGAGTGTTAGCTTTGAGGATAGATTTGTTGTTGTGGTGCAAAAATGATTTAAAAACTCCACATTCATTCAGCTGGTTTCCAATTTAATGTCTGAGTTATTTGGGTTACTCAACGGAAAAAGTATAGAAAAACGCAATGTTTTGTTCTATTCTGGAAATACCGATTCTCTCATTAACTTCACGTGTACAGAAACAAGTGTATCTAAACAGTTATAGTTAATGAGTTTTTTGACGTGACCATTGAATAGTTTCAAACAATAATTGCTTAGGAATAAAACGCGTAGAATAGCATTGAGCATAAATAAATACGAGTATTTTAAATCAAACTTATGATTAATCGACATTTTCACTTCACAGGATTGTATTCTGAAGAATTAGTCATCGTTTTTCAGCCTTCAACAATCGAATATATCTAATTTCTTCTATTTTGTTCCAATTATGGCACCCTGAAAAATTGTTATACACAATTTAACGTTTGACTAAGCAGATGGTTGTTATTCAATTAACTTTAAGACTATGAATCATCGTTTTAGTTCCATTAGTTACTTATATTTTGAGTTGCAAATAGTTGCTCATATTTTTCTGAAAAATTAAAGAAAACTTAGTAACACTGCATGCGTTTCTGATTTTAAACATGTTCTGTTTGCTGATTTACAAAATTTTTTAAGGAATGTGATGTTTGCGATTAACTTTTTATACAAAATTAAATGTCCCAAATATACAGGGTGAGTCAACGCTGTGGCAATGTTGACATACCGATAGAATATAATTGAGGTAAAATATTTCAAAATAGGTTCGGGTGCGGGGGCAAGAAATGCACATTTTAAAAATAATTTGTCCTATACAGGGTGATTCGTTTTCGGAGGGCTGACCAAAGTTGTATTTTTATAAATGGAACACCCTGTATTTGATTGGATATTTATATTTTACATGGAATTATGCAACTTATTCGTAGTAGGTACTATGTGCCAAAGTCTGCCAGTTGAAAGATATTAATATTTTAATATAAAGAATGACATTTTCGGCGTTACACTTGATCTTTGCTGATATACTCGTTTTTTGAGAAATTTTCAGAATCGAGATTTTTTCAAGCTAGAAATTAATAAAATAACGAGCAAAAAAATTCATTTTTTGACGATTTTGGAAATTTTTAAAAATCTTGAGGGACCTCTAAAAATTTTTTTTGAGCTGATTTTTTGAGGTGGCTCTTAACATGATAAACTAACATATTTTCACAAGACACACGAAAAAAAAATATTCGTTTTTTTTGGGCCACCCTACTGTACATACATATTTTAATATATTTAATTTTTAATATCACATTTTTTCGAGTCATAAAAATAATAAACGTGGATTACTTTTGAGGGTCAAATGACACGTTAACTAAAACTTTTCAAATAATAATACTTATTTTTTTTTAATTGAAGAACATAATTCTAAAGCATTCATTAACAGAAACAATGTCATATTTTTAAATTAAAGGAAAAAGTTCAAAGCTTCTGCTTCTCCTTTGAGTAAATAAAACGGTTTATAATTTAACGCTTTGCAATTATTTTATACAAAACAGTAATTCACTTTTTTATATTTTTATTAGAATGAATTCTTTATACAGGGTGACCCGCAAGTAATGGTATAGTCTTTCCGAAGTCAGTTAAACATATATAAAAACGCCTAGCAATAAAATATAATGAGTTTCATAGGCGCCCCTAAAAAAGTTTTCCATTAAAGCTAAAAAATAATAATTTGTATATAATGCGTAGAAAGTTTCTATAATATATACATAACAACATATTTTAATTATTTATGCCCTCAAACAATTTTATTATATTGATGATAAATTATGGTTATGACACCATCAAAAAACATTTATATCTTCATTAAAATATATTACTGCTCGGCATTGCAATTTGTCAACAACTGAAATTTATGGCCGGTCGTCCAGTGCAGCTGTGTTTGTGCGCCGTTTACCCGCGCGCGCGTTCTTCTACTAGGCGTATACATTTCTACCACCTCCACGTTTAGTTCGGTCAGACCTGTATATGGGTATGGCTGAATAAATATGGAAACAAGTTTTTCAAATATTTCAATATCGAGTTGCTACGTAGCGACGGAACCTGGTACATACTGCCTAGCTCTTTGGTTTTCAATTGAGATCGGAAAGACTATACACGGAGCATCAGCAGATTCTACACACTGAAATATTACGATAAATATTTGTTTCATTCATTTTACATATCTAACCTTTTCAAAATTACAGAATATTGAACAAGTTTTGAGGATCGGAGTTTCTTTGAAATGACGAAATCAAATCCGATTATAATTTTGCTCATACTTATTAGAGAACACCACTTGCAACACATGACATTCTTAAGACATGCGTGTCTTTAAAATGTCAACTTTTTTACACCTCAGGATATCTCCTTCTTTAATATGTTTTTTTTATTTTCCTATATTTTTTACTTAAAAGTATCGCTACTATTTTTGAGACATTCACCTTTAATTTTTTATTGTTCTTTGAGACAAATAAAAAAGCTGTTGTAGCAGCTTTTTGGAATATAATTTTTTTGTGTATCAAATATTTTCCGAGACTCCAATACACGGGTCACCAAAATGACCTACAGGGTACACCGTACTGCTCTTTAATACAAAATGTCTGTATATATTGTATTTAAATATACTATACTTTTCAATTAAACTTTATAATAATTTTAGAATATTCTGCGTTACACCATCAAGTTGGAAATGGCGTGAATGTGTGTGCTACATGTGATACCTGGATAATAACATAAAATTTACGTTAGAATTCATAGTCGTAGTCGCAAACATGTGGTTCGCCTGAAACCTGAAACTTTCCGAGTGGAAATTTCCAGTTTCCCGCCGGGAATGTGTATTTCATAGCTGTGAACCGACATATTGTTAACTGAAGATGGACCCATGTCCAATGTATGCACTCCGAATACAGCCAGCGGGTACCCGGAAATCGTCTCCATCGATTTGCTAACAAGTAATATCTTTTTACAAACATTGTGGGTTTAAATATTGCCTGACAAGTGACAACATAATCTTTAAGTTTGTGAAAATCGCATGCGACATTAACGAAACACATTAATATGGTATGGAGATGGTAGTTATAAGAACAGTAGAGGTAGAAATAAATTTACACTGCAAAAAATTAAAGAATTTCTAGGCACAATGTCCATATTTCATATTCTTCCAGCTTCTAAGAGCTTCTTTTATCCCTTCAGCGCAGGACTGAACAATGCCTGGGTGATTGGGACGTTAAAACTAAGGACAAAGTCGGGAGCACTGAGCTCGCAAAAATTCATGAAAATTTTTAACAATGTAAAATTTAAATAGATCTAAATTTATTGAAAATATGTTACATATAATAAATGGTGTTCATGCAAAGAGCTTTGTACAAGGCAATTATTAATTTTGTTATACTGAACTACAAAATACTATGGTCGACGTTCAATCCCATTCCTCAATGATTCCGCAGAAATCCACTTTACGTTTGTATAATTGGCCTTTTTGAATTTTGTTAATCTTTAAATTGTACTCGTCTGGAACGGGTGATGGACTTTCACATCTTTCGGGAAAGCTTTCATTTTCCGAAATACGAAACTGAGGTGAATTTTCTATTTCTGCATACAGCACGTCGTCAACGGCTGCTGTGCCGACGGCATCGGACATCGATGGTGTCGTCTGCTGCGGTATTCGAGGACGACTGGGAGTTCATAAAAAATGTCGACGGTAATTTCCAAAACATAGTCGAAAATGTTATTTTCGACATTTTCTCCTTCTTGCGGATGGAAATTTGGGTCCCTTCGGACATGGATTTCTACTTTGCTCCTAGTGGAAAAAAATTGGAAAGTTATGCGAAAATTTGAAATTTGGAATACAGCATTGCTTGATTTCATTTGACAGGATTTTTTAGGAAAACAAATATTTTGATTAGCTTAACAGCTTTATTATGAATAAAATGGAAGGCTACAACAAAAGTATTTCAGACCATTTGCATTTTTCCATATGCACAAGAATGGCATAAGTATTCATGAACCAACTGGAATATTCGTTAGGTGGCCTAAATCGAAAATAGCTCCTTGACTAAACGAAACAGTCAATGGAATTTGTTGCATTCCTCAGCCACCGCAAATTACTTTAAAAGTGTTACACTTGTTTCGAGGCTAAACCGCATTTAACTAGAACCGAATTCAATTATTCAACTACAAGCGAGACTTTAGCGGATCCAGAATATTGAACGAAGTTTGTGAACAAAAGTTGTCCCACGTAGGATGAGAAATGTATCGTCATTGTACAAAAAGAAGCGAAGGGGAAAGTAGTTCCTTAAAATCCACACAGTTGAAATAATAAAAGGTTGGTAAAAAATTATAAAATTATATTTAAAAATGTGGAATGATTTTGAACCAAAAAAGAACACAGTTGTAAATTAACTTTTGGAATTGAATTATTAGAAATCGTGCTTTTGTTATGTTATGTACTACGTATTACTTAATAAAAAATGAGTGACACATTTTTGTAATTTAGTTTCAGTCTGATTTGAATATGATTATTATGTTATTGTCTGAGTATAAATAAATAATCTTCAACAAGAAACAACAAGTGTTTCTTTTGCAATTTATATCTTTCTTCTGTGGCATAATTATGATGGAGTTACAAACAGAATACATTTTTTGCCTGTTAATCTATGGAATGTAAATGTCTTTATTAATATAGAAATATACAGGGTGTACTACAAACTACTACAGCTTCCTGATGATATTTGTAATAGAAAACTCTTATACGAAAAAGTTCTATCTTCGTATTTTTTTTTTTTTTTTGTTAATTAAAGTTCATTTGTTCAACGAAAATGAAGGCCGACCCTGTGT